TCTCAAAAAGAATAAAAAATAAAATTGTGTCTAACTGCTTATGAGTCTGGGATTTCTTTTTAGAGTGATCAAAAACGTTACATAATTAGAGAATGATGATGACTCCATGGACTTGTGAATATATTAAAAATCCTCTAAATTTTATAAGTAAATTTGATGGTGTGTATAAATTATCTCTCAATAAAAACAGTGGCTGTGTCCACTGGTAGACAGTGGCAGGCTAACTACACATACTTTTTTGATCTACTCCCCCACCCCTAAACTTATAGTCGAATTATTTTAAGAAGGCAAAGGATTAAAAAATATTTTATTCCCTAAAGGCAACAAAACATTTAAAAAAGAGGTTTTTAACCCACATCAAAAAGAAGAAACCAAAAGATGAGAGATTATAATGCAATTTGGGGGGATAAAAGGTGGGTGGAGGATGGTAACCGACTTAGACTGGAGGAAGTCATGGTTTAGGGCTTGCAGGAGTGATGCCAGAGAAAAGCATGTCAGAGACAGCTCTGAGGTCATCACACCTGGAGGTTCCACAAAGGATAAGAGTCGGAGAAGCTGCACACTGAATGTATTCTCAGGTTTACTGTACCAGCTTGCTGCGTCACTGGAAGTTTATCATGGAGAAATTTCCAGACTCAGGAACAGTGAGAAGCAAGAGTGACAGGCAAGACTTAGGAAAAGAACAAATCGGCACACTCTCGTGAGCCCCTTGTCCATTTTGTTTATAGAATATTAACAGCAAAATATTTCAACTCCCCTATCTTCTCTATCCCTGTCAACCTGAAAAACAGACAGCTTTTCATGGAAGTTACTGAATGACCCAGTGGGAAAATCTATGTCCTTGTATTTTGAGGTTGACCCCAACATGGCTGCCCTTAGAGCCCAGCAATGAGTCCACAGGGTATCTGTCATCTCTTGAATGGCAGACTATTGAACAGCAGTGGACAGTGACAGATCACCAGACAAAGGGGAAAACTTTCACCGAGAAGGGGTGAGACAAAAACAAATAACTGGTATGAAGAAACCTGCAGTAAGCAAACCGATTTGAAGCAAGGAGCAAAACTAACAAAGAAGTAAAGAAAACCAAAAATAAGCAAACATCCCCCAGGAGTTTACAGGAGTAGGTGCTTTGAGAAAGGAAAAGTCAGTAAACAATAACGAGGGCCTGGAATTTCAAAGTATGATTGTCAAAATGAAATAGAAAATTCAATAAGAGGGGTATAATGACTAAAACAAGAAAACTTCGCGAAAGATGAAACAAGAAGTCAAAGCTGGAAACCAGGAATGAGAAGAATGGGGGACAACTTGATGGATCATTGGGTAGTTCCGTGGGCAAATAATGGAAGTTTTTAGAAAGAAGAAAGGGAAATAGGCAGCAGCAGGTTAATAAAAACAGTAACAACAAAAAAATTTACAGAATGGAATATCATCCATTTCCAGATGAAGAGAAGTCCACCAAGTGGGATAAAAAAAGATTCACATTGAAGCATAGCATGGTGAGTTTTCAAAACAGTTGGGGTTAAAATAAGATCTTGAACATTTCCAAAGGTTTAGAAAAAAATCACTGCCACAGAAATGGGAATTTGAAAAGCCTAGAACTTTTTAAAAACAGCACTAGAGGAAAAAATCCAGAAAAACAATGCACCCTGGCTGAGTGCAGTGGATCACACCTATAATTGTAGCCCTCTGGAGGTTGAGATAGGAGGAGCCCCAGGGCTCAGGAGTTGAGACCAACCTGACCAAGAGCGAGACACCCCCATCTCTACTAAATGTAAAAAAATTAACTAGGCATTGTGGTGGGTGCCTGTAGTCCCACCTACTGGGGAGGCTGAGGAAGATTGAGCCCAGAAGTCTGAGGTTGTTGTGACCCAGGTTGCTGGGCAACAGAGTGAGATTCTGTCTTAAAAAAATAAATAAATAAACCCCAAATAATGCATCTACATTGTTTTTCTGAGGGATAAACGTTTCAACCCGGAATTCTATACACAAACAGGCAATCAAGTGTGAAGGCAGAATAAAGGAGTTTTCAGGTAGGCAAACATCAAAAAAACTTACTATGTTTATATCCTATCTAAGAAAGGTATTAGGGGGTGTGTTTCAGGAAAATGAGGGGGTAAACCCAAGATGAGGATGGTGTGAGATGCAGGACAAGGTGATACCTTACAGCAGAGCAAGGGAAGAAAGGCCCAGGCCTGCATCAGGCCTAGAGAGCCCAGTCAAAAGCCAGAACAAGAAGGCAGAGGACCACATAAGGCAATAGACATAACAATTATTCAATGTGTTGGAATGCTTAAAAATCATTAATAGATACTTGACAGAACTGTGGGAGTACTTGTGAAAAATGAGTGATAAGTAAATTGAAAAATCTAACCAGATTAAACAAACAAAAGCAAAAGCAGGACAATAATTAAAACTTCAGGAAAAAGAAAATTGTGCAAATAAAGGAAACAATCATAGTTCACAAGAAGGTTCTGTAGGGAATAATATTTACATATTTATAATAATAGGAATACTGACGGTTCTAACTACATTCACTAGGCGTGGGAAAAGGGAGAGGAAAAAGTAGAACGCAAGAAAACTATACCCTAAAAAGGAAGCCAATAGCTGGCCATAAATAAGTATGCAAGTGGCACTTTGTAGGAATTATTTGGCAATATTGAAATAGAGAAAATATAGCTTAAAAAAGTTACATGCAGTTGTGTCTGGTGAGTGGGATGAGATGTGTCTATTGCGTTTCAACATAAGCCTGTTAATATTGTTATAACCTCGTACAAGTGTTATTTTGATAAATGTTTACTTATTGATTCTGTGGGGTATCAGTTTGTTAGGACTACCAAAACAGAGTAACACAAACTGGGGAGCCTGGACAACAGATATGTATTGTCTCCCCAGTTCTCAAAGCTTGAAGTCTGAGATCAGGGTCAGGCCAACACTGCTTTCTTCTGAGGGCTATGAGAGAAGAATCTGTTCCAGGCCTCCCTCCCTGGCTGGTGGGGGGTCATCCTCTCCCTGTGTCTTCACTCTGTCTTCCTTGTAAGTGTGTCTTTGTGTCCACAATTCCCCTTTGTCTAAGGACGCTAGTCATATCACATTAGGCCCACCCTAATGACTTCATTTTAACTTGATTACCTCTGTAAAGACTCTATCTTCAAATAAGATGAAATTCTGAGGTCGTGATGGCTAGGACTTCAGCACAGGAATTTGGAGGATGGAGGGAGAGGACATGACACAATTCAATACATTCCGTGGTGGTGGGGGGGATAGTCAGTTGTAGCTGAAGTTTCTCTGGGGGAATCCTTTGTAATGTTAGCAAGTTACTTAGATTTTTTTTTTTTTTTAATTCAGAGAACTTTATTGATGATACATGACAAGGTGGGGCTCCCTATAGGGGCCCCTCTCATTCTTTACTGGGTCTGGTGTGGAAACTATTTTGAGGGGAGATTCTCAGTGAGGTGGGGGACTGAGTAGGCAGGAGCACCCCAGCAGCTAAGGGCCTTTCTCTTCCTTTCATGCTCTGGCTGGGGCTGGTGGTCTGTGGGTTCTTACTCCTTGAAGGCCATGTGGGCCATAAGATCCACCACTCTGTTGCTGTAGCCAAATTCATTATCATACCAGGCAATGAGTTTGACAAAGTGGTCATTGAGGGCAATGCCAGCCCCAGCATCAAAGGTGGAAGAATGGGTGTCACTGTTGAAGTCAGAGGAGACGACCTGGTACTCAGTGTAACCCAGGATGCCTTGAGGGAGCCCTTTGATGCCTGCTTCACCACCTTCTTGATATCATCGTATTTGGCAGGCTTCTCCAGATGGCAGCTGAGATCCACCACCGACATGTTGGCAGTGGGGACATGGGATGCCATGCTAGTAAGCTTCCCATTCAGCTCAGGGATGACCTTGCCCATAGCCTTGGCTGCACCAGTTGAGGCAGGGATGATGTTCTGGAGAGCCCCGCGACCATCACGCCACAACTTCCCAGAGGGGCCATCCACAGTCTTCTGGGTGGCAATGATGGCATGGACTGTGGTCATGAGTCCCTCCACAATGCCGAAGTTGTCATGGATGACCTTAGCCAAGGGA